CCCCCCCAGCCCCGTCCCCTCTCCTCCCCAGCAGCTCCAGGGCACCGCACCATGTCCCCCCCCTGCTGCACATTAACTTGCTATTGTCAAAACATGGGAAAACACCGCAGTGCAGATCGAAAGGCTCCTTCCTGATTAAAGAGGCTGGCAGGATTACAGCCCGCCCCTAATTACCGGCCCTTGTTAAAGCCCACTTTCGAGGAAGACAGGTTGGCAATTTAATCTGCTCGGGGAAAAAAAAGAATTATATTTTGTTTCTCCCCAAATGATTTTTATTTTCCCCTAAGAAAACGAAGCATTGTAATGCGCTGGGGGAAAGCCACAGCCTTCCTCCTGAAAGCAATTCCTCGGGCCGGGAACATTCCAGTTATTATTTTGTTATTAAACCCTTGTGTGCCCTGTGCTGCAAAAAAAGAACCCAAAGCATCCCATTTAGCAAAGGGGGTTGAGCTCCAGACAGGGAACCTGGGGTGCCAGTGGCCACTTCCAGCCCCTTGGGCAGGTGGTTTCCAGGATCCATGCGTGTGGGGGAGGTGACGCACGCAGCACACTTCCTTCTCACCCTCCTTCCCAAGCCTCTGAGCTCGTTAGCAGGCAGGAGGAGGGCAGGAGAGGAGGAGAAAGGAGGCAGCGGTGAGGACAGGGCCGGTGTGCCACACGGCTCCACTCGCAAAGCTCCCACTTGCTAATTGGGCTCAATTAGGTGGCTCTGCGCCGTGCCACAGCCCAGCCGTCCCCCCGAAAGCTTCAATTAATTGCTCAAGGTCAGGCAAGACCAGCGAGAAGCTGCCGGTGCCCACATCTCCTCTCCAGCCACTCCACTGCAGCAGGAGAGGCACAGCCCTGCTGCCGGGCTAAAAATAAAGACCTCTCATGATGTGGAGAACAACAATTTGCTAATTAGTTTAATATGCAGCCTTAATAAAATGAGAAAGTAATTTGAGTAAATTTGAATTTCAAGAAAACAAAGATTTGATTTTCTGATCTGTTTGTTTGAAGAGATTGGCTCCCAGCCCTTTTCTTGATGTCTACCCTTTAAACAAGCTCTGCATAATTAAACCGCAGGATCCCAAATAAAAGTTTGTCCCTTTGTAAGTCACGCCCTGGCTGGAGCAGTCAGCCAGGAGGGCTTTGGGCTCGCTCGTCTGCGAGGCGTGGCCACCGCCCAGGTCCAGCATCCCTCAGAAACCCAAGGAGAGGCCACGCCAGCCCCGGCACCGCACGCAGCCCCGCGGCTCACCGTTGACCGTGAGGTGGACCCAGCTGCCGTTGTGGAAGGTGTCGTACTGCTGGTCCAGCATGAGCACTTTGCACTCGTACCAGCCCTGGTCCTCGGAGCGGACCTGCTCGATGCGCAGGGAGGCTTTGTCGTGCAGGCTGGCCCGGCCTGCGGGGAGAGCACGCCCGTCAGTTTGCTGGCCCCTGGCCCCAGGGGACAGCCCCCCAGCACCAAACCAGAGATCTGCTGCAGGGGACAGCCCAGCCCAGGGCAGGCAACAAGCCGCTGCAGCAGCTCTGGGGCCAGGCAGAGCCTCACCATCCCCAGTTTTGGGGCACCTTGTGGCATGGTGCTGCTGGTTGTGGCCAGTCAACAAGGCACTTGCCCACTGGGGGAAGGCAGAGCGAGCTGCCATGGCCACAGAGCCTCACCATCCCCAGTTTTGGGGGACCTTGCGGCATGGTGCTGCTGGTTGTGGCCAGCCAACAAGGCACTTGCCCACCGGGGGAAGACAGAGCGAGCTGCCATGGCCCGGCAAGGTGCCTCGAGCAGCAACTGCCCACAGTGACACCAACCAGCCAGGGGCTGGTAGAGGTACAGCTGGCCAGCAGGTGCATCCCAAAGCCTTTTCCCGGCCTGGGAGCCTCCCATAAACCAGAGTGGCCCTGGGCTGACCCTGTGCACAGCCCCAGAAACCAGACCGGCAGCAAAGCAGCCCAAACCTCCACCCTGGCCCAGCAGTCAGTGGGCTCTGGCATCGTTCAAGCATGAGCCAAGTTTGGCAGGTCTCAGCCCAGACTTGGGTGCTGGCATCCTCTTTTCCACAGGATGTTCCAGTGGAGCAATCTGGGCCTTGCAGAGCCTGGAAGCAGGGTAAGACCCAGGGAACTGCATATAGAAATGGGTCTGTTCCACGATGCCATCCCACCAGGGGCTGGTCCTCAGCCCTGACACTCCACCAGAAGCCACGTGGGGCAGACGACACATGGACAAACGGCCACATGGGCTCTGCACCTCCAACCTGCCACGTCCACCGGCCATGTGGCTCCGGCTCCATCCTCACCATCCTCCCAGCATCCCCCCCAAGCTCACAGCTGCTCCGGGGTGCAGCAGCCGCGCCACCACCACGCATCACCCCGGGTTTCTCTGCCTCGCTTGCTCCCATCCCACGCAGCCCAGCTGGCTTCCTAGTGCTGCTGCTTAATTAAAACCAATCGGCTGGAAAGCAAGCATCGTGAGGCAGAGCCCATGCAGGTTC